TTCATATAAGAAAAGCCTATAAAGTCATTCTGCTCCAAGTTCATCATAAATAACGCGTCGGTTGGTGTCAAGTCTGCTTTCTCAGTTATGAAAACTTTATCGAAATTCGATGTTATCACTTATTGATAACGACTGTTAAGCTTTTAGCTCAGCGTTTACAATTTGCGGCACAATTGGTGGCTTCATTCCCTTAGCTTCCGTCTTATACCAGTCAATATTCCTAAAGAATGGATATATGGTTACCTCAGAGCGTGCATAGCGTCTGGCATTTCTGACCGATTGTTTGGCTTCTTAGCAAGAAACTTGGAAGCAAAAGATACTGCTGTGAAAGAGTTCTTCTAGTGTCTTTATGTAAAAAGTACTCACGCTTGTTAGCAAATCCATAACCTCTTGCGAGAAGTGTTTCGGAAAGACTGCTTTCTTATCTTTAATATTTTTGAACGTGTTCTCCTCATCCTCAGCCTCGCACATGCATAGCCTCTTGAGAGAAGTGTTACGGAAAGACTGCTTTCTTATCTTTAATATTTTTGAACGTGTTCTCCTCATCCTCAGCCTCGAAGGAATTACGGTCCGTCAACATTTCGTAAATCAAAACACCGAAAGAACACCAATCGGGGGTATGGTTATAGGGTTCATAGTTTGGTATCTGTAATGAATTGTACAGTTAWTATAATTATAAGTGTAATACTTGGAGTTTATCTCTGGCGCCATGTAGACATTTGTACCACAGAAAGTTCTCCTGGAATCACGTTCTTCAATACCTTCCTTACTCAAACTGAAGTCGGCAAGCTCTACTTCAGAACTCTTCCATAACTACAGATTCCTTGAGACGGCCATAAATCTGCTGACATAAGATCACTATCGTAATGAAGAACAAGCGATCCTTGAACACAAAGCACATAACCTCAAAGGCAAACAGAGCCACTTACCATAGTTTGAAAGCACGAGTGTAGTGAGACCAAACGTGGTGGTTTACCTGAGAGCGCGAACACCTTCTCTCAGTCATAGGCAATTCCATATCATCTGTTTATATAATGACGTAACACTTTTATAGCATAGAGCCTTTACCGAGCACATTTATATTTCTTTGCATGTGCTTGATCCAAAACTCGCCGCGTAATATTTTCGAAGCTTTTTCCTTTCACAGGCTGCAGGCAAATGCCCTTCGTTCATGAAGAAGGTCGTCTGCTCGCGAAGCGGTAACTTCCATTACGACAATTCTTAGACATCTACAGCAGAACAGGCGTCAGTCTAAAAATGTCTTGTCACTCCCAGAAAATAATACCTTATTTGGTGGTTCCGTGGGAGAGCCTTGAGTTGGGAGTAGGTTGGTTTTAGTGGATTAAAGTTCMGCACTCTGGCTTTCGCGCCTTATAATGGCACGTCGTTCACACGAAAGTACAGTGTGCTCGAAAAACACGCATCGCAACAAAGTATACACTTACGCACCAAAGGACAATATCCTCTCATTCGCTTAATTCCGCTCTCTCTCCCCAGCTTTCGCTTTTCTTTTCGTGGTTGGGTCCTTTCGATTCCAACACACGCTGGCCTAACGAAGTGCTTTTGGGTGTGTGTATGTGGAGATTCAGTGCTTTTAAACTGGCACCGCATAGTCCGGATTCACGTAGGAGAAACCCCTAAATTCCGTTTGGTCGAAATTCATCATAAATAATTTATCCGTTGGTGTCAGATCCGTTTTCTCCGAAGTGAATTGCTTATCGAAATTCGAGACATCTTTGCGATGTTTCTATGTATGAGTCACCGAGTATATGTGTGTGTGTGTGCGTAGCGTAAATTATTTGCATATTATTTTCACATAGCGAAGTGTGTCAAACAGAGAAAAGAAGATAATATTGGCGAAATAATGAAAAGCATGAATTAAGGTTTTGAAATGTTTTTCTTTGTTTTTGCTCTCACTTACAATTTTCGGCTTAAATGGCGGTTGCACTTCACGATTCTCGATTTTCTCCCAATCGATTCGTCGGAAGAACGGATGTATACGCACATCCGCTTCGCCGGTGGGCCCACAACCGAGACGTTTATTCGGTTGCTTGGTGAGGAACTGCAATAAGAACCGAAATGTAG